CCGCCCAAGAGGGGGAAGTCAGTGAGGCTGCTTCTTCCCACCATTAAAACCCAAGCATCGCAGCAGTCGCCTGTCTCACACACCCCAACTGCCTCACCCCCAGGAATACCCTTTTCTGGGGCTGGGAACACAATAATGCTTCGATAAGACAGAAGAAAGGGCAGCTCCCGTATCTTCGTCTCATAAGACCCAAGGATGCTGGAGAGCAGGGGCTAAATGGTGAGTTCCTGATGGATGCCAGGATTTTGTTCCTTCTGGCACCCACACAACTGATCTGCCTGGCAGACAGATTCATTTCCCTACTCAAGGCTTTTTTCACCAAATACAAAGGACTGGAGAGGCTTCCAGGCTCTCCTGGACAAGAGTAAAAGAGAACCACCACTGTTTTAAACATGCCTAACTTGACCATATGGCTTTCGTTTAGGCCACTTACTTAGGTCACTAACAGTTTTCAGGACGCTAAAGGCCATGAGACCAGGAACGGGCACTAATCATGGAGGGCCCTGTCTGCAGCAAGGCAGAGGACTAACTAGCAAGGTCTCCGAAAGTCACGTGTAAAGTCCAGGGCCGAATCATCTCTCCTCCACATTGTTCCTCCGCTTTCTTCTCTGTTCTCTCCCTTCTTTCAGTACTAACACCCCCCAACAGCCCTGAACAGCCAAACCTCCTCTTCCTCAGCCACCTAAGTTCTCTTTCTTCCAACAACCAATCCAGGATCCTTTTACTAGGGTGGTTTCGTTCCAAAGAGCAAGGGCTGCCAGCCAGCGCCCCCTCCCCACAACCTACCGATACAACCGTGTTCTCAGAAGGGCCCCGGTGTCACTACAGTGCCTGGTGTTTGTGGCTTCAGGGTTAAACACAACCATTAACCCTGTGTCCCACTGAACTCAGGAAAAGCTGATTTTAACAGTTAATTAGTTGGTCCTTGGGAAATTACTTGTATTTCCTGCAGTCATTCCTTTATTATTTTTTTTATTATTATTATTGGAATAAAGATTTTTTTAAAGAGAATTTCAAGGGGAAAATGGGGTCATTCAGATTTTAAGCCAATTTTGTAAATTGTATGTGGTACAGAGCTATGATTCTACGAAGAGATTTATCATCCCCCTCTGCATTAACTATTCCCATTACTCAAGATACTGATAAATACTCACAATGCCACCCCTGAAACAAATGAGACAGTTAAAATAAATCAGAATTGAAACCTGCATTTAAAAAACACTCATTAGTACCCAGGAAGTCAGCTCAGAGAAAATGAACCTATGCAGCTTCCTCATTTCCACATCAAAGTCCCAAAGTGCTCTGGAGTCCCCATCTTAACTGTGCCTCAGACTTAACTCTGTGAAAAGACGTGGGAAAGGGGTAGAGAGACCCTAGAGCCCATAGTTTGTGTAACATGTGGTCTGTGACATATTTATTCTCTCTCTCTCTCTCTCTCTCTCTCTCTCTCTCTCTCTTTCTCTCTCTCTCTCTCTCACACACACACACACACACACTATGCAAGACATGCAGTTTTAGACCTTTCTTTACAGCAATGCATCTTTAAGGAACTACGCCAGTTGTAACCATGTTTTTGCTTTACATCTCTTCCAAATCCTAAATGGAAAATGTCTATGCCCTAACTTGCGTAACAGCATTCTCTGAGGTGCTGACAGGATGGCCAGCTATCGCCCTAGCGCCTGTCTGAAAATCACGAGTCTGATCCACCCAGGCAGGCTGGCAACAGGACAGCAGCTTTCCTTGAGGATTAAAAACTGGTACTGTTTATTTCACTGAATTCTTCCTGATTGCATCCAAACTCCATGTTGGTTTTCTCAGACTTCCTCTACAAGAGATTTCCAGCTCAAATAAGCTTGGATCTTCAAGTCACTTCCTAACACCAATGGATTATTTGGGGGGGGGCGCACCCACAGGGCCCCTAGGCTCTAGAACAGCAGTCCTCAACCTGTGGGCCTCAATCCCTGGGGGAGTGGGGTACATATGCTATCCTGCATACCACATATTTACCATTATAATTCATAACCGCAGCAAAATTAGAGTCACGAGGCATCAATGGGAGTAATTCTATGGCTGGGGTCCCCACAGCATGAGGAGCTGTATTAAAGGGTCACAGTGTTAGGAAGGTTGAGGACCTCTCCTATAGAGGATGCACTTTCTGTTCTCTTGATTGTAATTTTTAAAATTTCCAACCAGGAGCTAGCAAGATGGCTGAGAGGATAAAAGTGCTTATCACCGAGCCTGATTACCCACATGCAGGGTGGAAAGAGAACCCACCCACACGCTATCCCCCAGCCACTGTAAGAAAGCCGAGTCCGAGCGCAGGAGTGTGTATCCGTGAGACAGATGGAGTACGCGGTTAAACTCACAGTGGGTCCATTTCTTTAAATCACATTCACAGGTAGATGTCTACAAGCAAGATACTCAAATCTCTCTTAGAAACTGGGCCTCTACTGTTTTTAAAATAAATAAACAACAACAAGCATATTTTTCACGTAATCCTTTCAAAAGACAGTTGCAGGAGCTGATCTTTCACACAAGGCTATGGCAAGTGCTCACGGGGAAGCAAGGTATACAGTTTGATAGAAGGGCTCCACCAGCTTCCCTGGGGATCCCTTGCCAGTCTGAGCCTGATTGAACACAGCAACCTGCATGAACGAAGGGTTCCAGGCTCCCAATGCCATAATGGGGCTCTTGCCTCAACACTCCGGACAGGTCAGTCTGTTTGATTCCACCTTTCTCCAAGCTCTACCTCAGAGTAGGGGCGAGATTACTATGAGGCTTATTTAGGCTACTTGACCATCTACGTTATCCTTAAAATACAGACAAGCTCAACCATAAGCAGTTATGACCAAAAGCAAACAGACAAAAAGTCACAACAACAAATAACCATTATATCTGGTAGGCAGGGGCAGCTCCCAAAGTACCTGCACTTCAGGTACGGTATTTTAATTAAAGAACCCAGAGCATTCCATCTGCCGAGCAGGGATCATTTCTAGAGCACCAAGACACATTTATCGATTTCTTTGCTCAAGACTACTCCCACAGATAAGAATCTCTGCAGAGGAACTCTGCCCTGATGCCGTCACCCCCACCCCCACCCCAAGACCAGGCACAGAGCAGGCAATCAATCTGAGGTCAGCTGTCTCACCTCCCTCTTAACTCGGGGGGGGGGGGGGGGGGTTACAGAGAAACAAACTGTAATGTTCAAAAAACCTCTGCCATAAGAGTCACCTCCCAAGCCAACTGCAGCCTACCCTGCTCTGGGTAGGAACTGCAAAGGCTGGGCCAAACTGTCAAGGCAGAAACAAGTTTGAGTAGATTCTATCTCTCCACTAGATAACACTCCCCCTCACACCACACACACACACACACACACACACACACACACACACACACACACGACCCTCTCTGGTTATCTCTACTAAGCCTTTCAATGGCAAGTTCCCCAACCGCTTGAAAGCAATCAAAGAGCAATAATAAGCATTTCCTTTTGTTCAGCCGATCTCCACAGCAAGCCGTGACAAAGCTAAGGTAGCTGCTAGCGTCTGTCCCCTCTTCAAGTTTCATGGCATTCTGCCTTGAACACGAGGCCTATCATTATAGAATGCTTCGCTGGTACCTCTGCGCTTTTATCTAATAGATTTAGAACACCCCACTTTTAGGCAGACCCAGATACTCGCTCTCCGAGTAGCATTTTTACACACGCATGCACACGTACAACCTCAGAGGTAAAACAAAAGCTCAGAAGAATCTGCTGGTGCAAAATGAGAACTCAAATCCCAGTCTGGCTCAGGTGCTTGCTATTATAAAGCATGACTAAGAGACATGAATTTCTCTCTATGATGCAACTCTCAAGAGAGGCAGCGTTCTCCAGCCCGCTCTTAAACCTGCTCATTCGCCAGTGACTAATGCTCTCTAGAGCAGCCCGGTGCTGCTCCAATTTCATCAGCCAGCTTTGTCCTTGGTAGCTCTGCCTGGACCATAAAGCCCCCAAATACGTTGAGGGCAGCCCAGAAAGAGAAGGGCAAAGCCAACTATGTGCTGCCAGCATCAGCATCCATTGTGGAACCCTGCATCGATTCTTTTAAGGTACGAACACTCAGAGACCATGAGGAAAAAGGGCTTTACTCTTCTCAACAGTGAGGTCATAACAACCACATGACAAGCGCAAATCAAAGCCTTCTGTGACCACCCTTCTTCACTGGCTTAGAAGCAAAACTGCCATGTTAGGTGGACCCACAATCAACAGGAATTTTCCATTAAACATGTGCTGTACTTTTCAAAGTAAGAAAAGTGTCTTCGCCTTAAGTATAGCTGTTTTTGCAATGCTAGCAACTGGGCTTCGAACCCTATACACACCAAGCATACGAGTGAGCTACATCCTCATCGCAAGAACTAAATTTATAAAATAGACAAAAAAAAAAAAGGATTTGAAAAAAAACATGATGGATAGACACTAGGGGCTGGAGAAATAGCTCAGCAGTTGAGAGCACCTGCGGCTCTTCCAGAGTTCCCAGCACCCACAAAAGGTAGATCACAACCACCTGTTAACTCTAGTTCTTGGGGAGTTGACACCCCCTTCTGGTCCCTGCAAGTACTAACACGCATAACACACACACCTCTCGCCTTCAGATAAATCTTGAAAACAAAAAGATGTTTGACACACGATCATATATGGGGAAATTCTCATTACAGCCACCATGTGGTGGCTGGGAACTGAACTCAGGACCTCAGGAAGGGCAGGCAGTGCTCTTAACCGCTGAGCCACACAGATGGAAAACTAGCTTAACATTCTGGAGTTCAAGTTTTTAAGGTAAAAAGCAGTTTTATTAAAATTATCTTGAGTAAATCTGATCTCCAAGAGAGCCCAAAATGATTAAAATACAGGTATACCACCACCCAAAATCCTCCGGCTATCACTTAAGAACGCATTCTACAGGAAAAGATCCAAGACCAAACAATTTCAGAACAAGTGTTGCCAGCAACAGAAAAGAACTTACAGTTGTCAGACTGGAAATCTGGGACAAACTGTTCATCATCAGGGACTTGAGCTGGAAAAGAGACCTCTGTTTTAGATCTTTGTACTGCACGGAAAGGCACAGCGGAACGTTTCACATAAAGAACAGCACAGTCAAGAAACTTGCCTTCAGCTAACCAAGCCTCTTGAAGTTGACTAAGATCCTGAAACAACTCTGCAATTTAAAAAAAAAGGATTCAGAATGAGGTTATTTCTTGTGCTTAGGAGGAGCATGGGAGGCTGCGCACTGGTGATCTGAGCAGTCTGAGGAGGCTGCGGCACAGGGAAATCTCCACTACCTTCAGAATCGTGAGCCAGATCCGTATCCAAAAACTTCCTCTTTCTGTCCGTCACAGGTCGCCCTCGACAGTCCTCTGAGCGAGATTTCTGAAAGAGGTCGACAAATGAAGCTCAAGTGCAGGAAAAGGGGTGCAGAGGGGGTCCCACCCGCGTCTCCACACCAAAGAGCTCAGGGACAAAACAGCAGAGACGCAAACTCACCCCTGGGACCATAAAAGGGACTTGCTGATCACAAAACCCATCCATGGTGCTTCCAAAGTCTCTGGTACCACGGTGAAAGGCTTCAGCATCGAGTAGTTTCTGGGGTATGTGTGGGAGGGGGGAGTATAGAGATCCTCCTGTAACATGAATTTGGGAGATTTAAAGTGTTGTGGGGGAGTGCGGTGTAGTCTTTTCTTCTTGCCTGTGTAGTCGGTCACATCTCTGCGTCCCCAAAGCCTACTCAAGATATAAACTTTCAGGATAAGTTTTCAAAGCTCACTAGGCACTCGGAGACAAATCCATTTACGTGATCATTGGGGGATGTTGTCCAGTGGTAGAACACTTAACCAGCAGTATGCACAAGGTCCTAGGTTCAATCCCCAGTAATGATGAAAAAAAAAAAAAAGAGAAAAAAGAAAGAGAAAAAAATTTGCCTGTCTACCACATAAACCAAAACCAACCAACCAACTAAACACCTCAACTTGTTAACTTATTTTTTTAAGATAATGAAGTTTTTGATAGTGCAGTAACAAGAACTAGAGAAACTGGGTTAAGTATTCCAAATTATTGGCAATTAAGAAACTAAGATCCATGTGTTTTTCAAAGTATTTTGTAGGTCTATTTGTAGGTCTCTGGTAAAAACACTAGGTACAGTTCCAGGAACAAACTGATCAAAAGTATACTTTCCTCACACACAATTCTTTATTTAAAACCTAAACCTTCTGTCCAAACAGGTGTGTATACCTGAAATGACATAAACATCTCCATGGCAACTTACAAAAATTATCTGCCATCGACTAAACTTGTAGAAGAATGAAACATCTTTAAGAATAAGAGATAAAGGAAACTCAATTTCACTTTATATATTTATGCAGCTCTATCAAAGCACACCCCCTACTCAAAAAAAAAAAAAAAAAAAAACTTTCAAAGCAAAAAGATCCATGGAAAGAAAATGCCCTTTACTGAGCAGTGAAGTCAAATTTCCCAACAAAAACAGTAAAACACTGGTAAGAATTGGACAACAAAAGAAGACACTTTGCTAACGTGGGAGGGGCTTATCAGCAAATTTAGAAAGGGATCACCTTTCTTAAACACCTTATTTTCCAGCTAAAAACTCAGGTCAAAGCAATGGGGGGGGGCATGATAATTCACTCACCCCGGTTCTGAATAACAGAAAGGCCTAAATAGCCATTTCTTTTAACTTGTACACAAACTAGGCAACTTTTTTCACAGTACCCTTACCATCTGACTTGTTTCTCATGCTGTGAACACCATATCAAATTTTCATAAGTGAGCAGGATGCAAGAAAACCCTTCGCAGCCAGTTCTTGGCCCAAGTAATCAGATATTTTCAAAGTCAAAGGAAAGAGAGTTCACAACTTCCTAGAAAAACAGCCCTGCCAGCTCGCCCTCCACACAGTGCAAACAGCGTTCAGAATGAGGCCTCTCTCTAGTACCCAAATCTGAAAAACCTTAGTAGAGTCGAGAAGCATGAAAGAATTCTGTGTTGTATTTAAAAACCTATCTGATTAAATTGTGGCCTCAGAAATTCTTAAATGTCTGTTGTGGGTAAGAGGAAAACGTGTAGGAAACTGGAGGGTAAAATATTTTTAGAATCTCATGATGCACAAAAATATCTTTAGAAAAAAATTAGTAAAAGAAGCTGCCCTAAGAGAATCCAAAAGCAGCACCGAGGATCTTCTAAGTAGCCCTTTAGAGTTCAAGGGCTGGAAACATTGTGTTCAAAGTATCTTTTAAAAGCCTGCAGGGAAAGCGCTCCAGTTCATCCTGGAGTTTTAAACCACTTCCTTTGTGTCGTCGTCGCTCCCCCCCCCAAAAAAAAAATCCGGGCGCCCCCAGGAAAACTTTAACTCAGCGCAGCGACCCGATCGAGGCCCCTCCCCGTGGCGCGCAGCGGGCCTGGTTTTATGAATGGGAGAACAAGCCGCGGCCGCCACCGCAGGTAGAGGCTGTAACTGGATCCCTCGCGCCGGGCCCCATTCACAAAACAAGACACACTTCCACCCAATTCCCAGCCTTCCCATTCATGAAAACTCCTTCAGCTGCGCCCCCGCCCCCACTCCCAACGCACGCCTAGCCTCCGACGCAGGCCCCTCACCCCAGCGTCTTAGGAAAAAAAAGCTCACTGCTTCATTCACAAAAAAAAAAAAAAAAAAAAAAGGAGAGAGAAAAAAAAGCCTCAGCGAGCTCCGAGTCCACGAAAGAAACCTGCTTCATTCATAAAAGTCACCCACATTCAGAAAACGAGGTGCGGCGCTGGGCGATACCAGTCGCCTCTAATTTGCTCCCGAACCCACACGCCTTCTTTCGTCGCCCCCTTCTCAACCAACCCCCACTCAGCTGAACGCCCCCCCCCTCCCCGCGCACCACCCCAATGCAAGCAAGCCAGTCCCGGAATCCTGCACGAGGCTCCAGCATCTCTCGACTGGCTCGGCACCGCTTCTCTGCCCTCCAGGCCGCAGCTCAGGCGGCCCCAGGCACCCTCAGCCCGCAGAGGAGGGAGTTGGGGGGCTGGGGGCCCGCTGCCCATTCTCTAACTTGCCAGGCCCACAGAAGTTCGGGCCGATCCTGCATCCGCAGGCTGCACACGTCGGTGTCATTTAACTCTAGGGGTTCTGGAGCGACACCCCTAAAACTGCTGCCCGCCCCCCTCCCACCTAAGAGTCGCGGAGCGTTTCTTCTCGCGAGCCTCCCAGGGCCCTCGGGGGCCCACAACTCGGCGCCCCGCACCCCGTTCTTGCACCCCGTTCCCGCAGCCTGCGCCCCGCACCCCGCTCCCTGCACCCACTCCAGCATCCCGGGTGCCTCCTCCGCGACGTACGGAAACCGGCTCTCCGCTCGCTCCGGAACCGCTAGCCGCCCCCGCCGATGCCTCCCAGGAACCGAACCGAACCGGGCCTGGGGGGGGGAGGGGGCGGCTAGCTCCGGGAGTCACCCCAGGCACACCCGACGGAGGACTCGGAACCGGCCCGCACCTGAGCGGCCACTCCGCGCGCCCGCCTGCGCGCCTCGGTGGCGGGCTGGGCCGCAGCGATCGGGATTGAGGACCGCTCCGCGCGCCGGCCTCCGGACTCTGCGCCGCCCTGCAACCGGCTGCAGCACTGGCCCGGCCCCCGCCGGCTCCGCCCGCCGCCATTGGCCCGTGGCCCAGAGCAGACACGTCCTCATTGGTCCCCGGTCGTCCCCCCGGCTGCCCATCACCTCTTGTTTACCCTGTCTTCAGGCAAATCCAGCTGGGCCGCCCCACCAACTGCGGCGCCCATTGGCTAACGGTCGGCCTCTCTCACCGCCCTCAGAGGTCTGTTTTACATAATTTATGCACTGGGCGCCATTGACCAATCAGCACCGGCTTGTTTATATAATGAATGTAAGGACGTTTTTCATTCATAAAAAACGCGACCTGAGGGGGAGCTGAGCTGAGTCAGTGAAGCTCTTAAAGGGGCCACTCGCGAAGTTCTCCCTCACTGGCCTCCGCCTGCGCCTCTCCTCCCGCCACCCCCGCGCGGGGCCGCTTGGCGCCAGGCGTTCGCAGCTGCAGCAGCGAGCTAAGTTATCATTTTAGAACTCAGGCGAGAGGAATTCGTCATTCCACACACCGAAACTCGCTGACCCGCCTGGGCATTCGGCCCATAGAAACACAGAAAACGGAAACCGAGCCCTCTAATCTTAGCTACCTTGAAAAGGAGAGGCTTTAATTTCTTTTAACCAGGTTTCCAGGGAAAAGAATAAGCAGTTATCTTCCTTTAAAAACCCGAGCTCTTCCAGTTTTTAGTTGATGTTTCATATTGACAAAGCCCGGCCTGATCGCGCCTCCCCGCGCTAATTGACTCTGAGCTCAGCAACTTAGAGGCTCCAAGCAGAAATCCGGTTCTTGGGCCGCACGGGACCAGTAGAGGGCCTTGGAAGCACAAATCCCCCTGAAACGTGTGTGCAGAGTTAGACCGTTTACTTCCCTCCCGGACTGCTTGTTTTCCGTTTAATGCAAGATGGTGTGTTTGCGAATTAGATGCCGTGCAGCTGGGAACTGGGAGAAGCAGCGTTGCTTGCCAAAGGATCGGGCACTGACTGCAATCGCTGAGATTCTTAACAGGGTGTTCCAGGAAACAAACAATCTTCTACCCTCCACCTCCTCGCCCCACTCCTGCCACCGACATTGGCCGTTCTCTTCTCTTCCCAAGGATGCTAGGCCGCCTGTAAGGGAGTTCACTGCCAGCGGGAGAGCGGGATGTCAAAGTTAGAACTTCAGCAAAAGGGTTCCTAAATTGTTAAACTATCGGTGCCGGAACCCCCACAAATGGGAGGTGCCGTGTGGATTTCTAGGGTCCGCGGTCTTTCCCCTCTCTGCTTGTCTATCAGAGCTGGCCCTTGATGTGTTGATCACAGTCTTTGATCAGATTGAATGCTGTGGTGAAACCTGGTTCCAGGCCCAGAGGGCTGAGTTATCGGTTTTGCCAGAGACCGGGAAGGGCACCAGTTGATGTGTGGGAAGGAGCTTTGAACTTTTTAACGAGCAGTTCCTTGATATTTAATTTCCTGCTTGAGGACTGTGCTTCGCTTAGCACTAATCCTACTGGATGACTGGAGAGTCTGCCCTTTTCTGCTATTTCTTCCTGCTTGTTTCTGACGTCCCCGAAGGCTTTGGATCCAGCTCCTTGCAGGGCCTCCACTAGCTCCAGATCCTCCCTTGCTACTGGGTCCACTTGCCACCACCGTCCTGCCCTGTTCTCATTCCAGGCCAGCCTTCTTGGTTGATTTCTCCAAGAGTTTCCTAGGCCCCCATCACAATGACCCCTTCACATCCCTCTCTCCGTGCCTGGAGTGTGGGGCTGCTGACCTTTGCCTCAGACCAAAGTTCTCTGTTCCTCTTTGGGAAGAGGATGAGAAATGTATAGGTTGAGTAGCAGCAAGCAGAGGCTAATTGGGACGAGGGGAAGTGTTGTGTGTCGTACTTGATTTATTTATTTGTTGCTTTTTGACACATGGCCTTGATAGATATATATAGCTAGGTTGGCCCAGAACTCACTGTGTAGCCCAAATCACCTTAATTTCTCTAGTCATCTCTTCCTCATAAATATCAGGATTGCAGTCATATGCCAACACTCCTGGGCAGTGACCGTAATTTGGGAAGATAGAACTTGCCTAGAAGGCACAAGGTCCTGGCTAATAGCCCTGGTACCACAGCAAAGAGGAACGTTGATAGACTATCATAGGTGGGGATTATGCTGCATTAAAGCTACTGGTAATCAATAACTTAGTCATTCAGCAAACGTTTAATTTGTACCAAATATTCAGTCAGACCCTGTGCTAGGCAAATTTTAAAAAAAGAAATTACAAAGGTATGTGAGATCCAGTGGTTGCCTTGGAAGGCCCATTCCCACACAGTTCTCCATGGATTGTCTGATTCCTCACAGCAAGTGAGGCAGTAAGAACGATTAATATCTTCATTCTACAAATGAGAAACTAAGGCACAGCACTAATCCATCCACTGCTGAAGGTAAACGAGAGCAGAGGTCACACTCCACGCCCCCCCCCCCAGGAGTCCCACCGACCTCTGGGCTAAGCAAGCCACCCAGCGACATCTGAACAGAGTCCAGAGGCCAAACTGGGTTCCCCTCCTCTCCGGCTTTCCCAATCCATTCTCGCTCCAATCTCTTTCTCTTGTTATCTTTGCCGATACGAGAGTTAAGGTTAGCGTGGAGAAGCTCCTTGTCTACTGCACTGGGTCTCTGATCCTAAGAACATATTGACATAGGGGGATTTGTAGAACAAGTGCTCTAATGACCGTTCCTTCTCCTCCAGGAGAGAAACAGAATTGGAAAAGAAAACAAAAAGAGACCTGCCCCCTGGGACATTCATCTTGTGTCAGTCTAGCCTTTGTCCTTGGGCAGTGGCAAAACGCGGTCACAGTGAGAAACTAGACCCTTGTTCTTCACACTCAGCTTGCAGCATCAGTGGAAGGGAAACAATGAGAGCCATGGGGGAAAGAGAGGAGGGGGGCTGCTTTGACCGGGTCCCCCGAAAATGCCAAAGCCAGCTGGAGTCTGAGGCAAGCAACCTAGCTTTAAGCTGGCAACCAAGCTGATGCAAATGGTCAGGTTGTCCTCTTGCTCTAGCTGCTGGCCTCCTGTCCCAGTCAGATGTGCTGTGGTGAGTGTGGTCCTGGGGTGCTAGCACATACCCCCCAGGGTTCTCTCTTCTTTTATAGTGTGGAAGAGAGGATTTGAAGACAAGGGCTGAATGGAACAGAGCTATATCCTTCAAACGAAAGATCAAGAATTCAGTATCTCTTTCTAAAATTTAGAAATAAGTGCCCTGAGACCTGAGGGAAGAAAGGAAAATCTTACACACTCGACGCTTCTTTAAACAAATAGGGATCCCGCTGCCTGCAGGGCTCCTTAGGTCCAGGGAATAGCGAGCCCAGATAGTTACTGAGACCTTCCTATCAGGCAGCCTCTGTTGGGTCACATAAGTACCGGCATTTCAGCCTACATCATCTCTAAGTAGGGTGCACTATTATGGTCACCCCCACTTTCTGTAACTGAGGAAGCCTTGGCACAGCAAAGATCACAGGGCCCACACCGAGCAGCACGGGGTTACAATTTAAGTGGCTCATGTCTTGAACAAGTGGTCTCCAGCTAGTGGTACTCTTCTGAGGGCAACCAAACCTTTAGGAGGTGGTGAAAGTCGTTCTGGAGGGGACAGGCTTTTAAAGGTTACAGCCTAGGCCCTGGCTTCAGCCGCTCTCACTGTTTTCTTGGTACATGCTCCACTTCAACCACGGCAGAGCTGCCCTTCCTGCTCTGCCAGACTAGAACTCACGAAAACCGGAGGCCAAAATAAACCTTCAAATTTTTCAGTCATTGCAGTGAGGCATTTTGGTCATAGCGTCTCGAGAGTAACTTATACAGAGAGCGTTATCACACAGGTTTCCCCAGAGCCTGCTGTTAGTCACCAGACTGTGCAGTCCGGTCCCTTAGAAGCTGTGTGCTTAAAGACAGCAGCCAGCACAGGAAGAGTCAGGTCTATACTGAGGCTTTGCCTAAATTAACTTGCTTGGTCTTCCTATCAATCCTATGACATGTATTTTCCCAGTTTCTGCGTGGGGAAGGGAAGCACAGAGGTTGGGAGATGTTTTCCGGCACATGTAGCTAGCTGGAGTCAGGAACTGAGTGCAGATCCTGAGCAGAGTCCGTGCTCTCAGGGACTTTACTGTGCTGCTCAGTCTCTCTGGGTACCTTCCTGCCCCATCATGCCTTTGGGGTTCTGGCTCTTCATCTGCCGCTTTAATGAGAGTAGTTTTCTGAGAACCTGCTGCAGACACTCCACTTAGACTTCTGAACTATCCTCAGTCAGCAGGATACACCTTCATGAAACCCACTTCAGGAGGGGAAATTGTCTTTATGGCGTCTCCTCCATGTGCCAGACATTTCACACACGGGGTCGCATTTAACGTCCCCAAACCCTCTCACAGGCCGTGCTCGCGCAGTTTGCTGCTGAGAGTCAGTATCGGGGCACTGTGGTGCAAACTTGTATTCCTGGTTCTGGGGAGGTGAGACAGGGATCCCTGGGGCTGTCCAGCCGGTCAGTTTAGCCTACTTGCTGAGTTCTAGGCCAGAGACCATGTCTTTAAAAAAAAAAAGTGTATATTGTGCCTAAGGAATGGCACTGAAGAATGTCCTCTGGTCTCCATACACACACTTGCATACATGCTTGTGTAATACACACACACACACACACACACACAGAGGCACGCATGTTGGGGGCTGTGAACCCAGACCCTGAGTTCCCAATGGCAGGGAAGTGGTTTCTGGTGGGTTTGGCTGGGATCAGTTAAGGATCCATATATAAGCAGCTCTGGTACACAATAAAGTGGGCATTCTTTTTTCAGGGATGACCCATGTCTCTGCCTGTGTGTCTTTGTGTGTTTAAATCTCCAGGCCCTTGCCCGACTCAT